AGACTTCGTATGAGTTACACTACAGACTTCGTATCAGTTACACTACAGACTTCGTATGAGTTACACTACAGACTTCGTATCAGGCCATGCCACTAGCTTTATCTTATCACTGCCAACTAATCGAGCTTGCTCGCCACAAAATGTTACGGCTGCTTCACCGAGACCCGGCATTGGTTCTCCCCATAGACACTCATACACTTGTGTACTCTCATTGATTTTTTGAAGTAGCTGTTACTAGCATGCCCAGATACAGTGACTATGATTAACCATGTTGATGGGAATGTGGCTGCACTCTCCTGATAGGAAGGTGTTATGCACACAAGCTGTAGCGAACACTGCAAGTTATACTTAGAGTAATTACATAGCTGTAAACACAAACATTGCCACTTGACTTTAATTTTCTCGTAAACACAATAACAGCGTGGGGTTATCACCCTTCTGCTACATGAAATACGAACAGATCAACGTGCAAACCGGCTCACGCCATGCTCGCGCACACATTACCATCTAGTGTGTTTTGCAATTCCATGACTTGCGAGATGAGTCTAGCCTTTTCTTCTGCATCCTCTGGAGTGATGTCTGGCTCAAGACCTAAATGAACACTAACATTAGCATCTGGCAAGATTACATATTTATACTGAAAAATGCAGTGTCCTTTATAGCCAGAGGTTGGTATTTGTACTATAGAAGTAATATCATTGTGTAACTATGACTTAAATGTGAGATTTCAACTGTCCTATATAGAGAGTAATCCATTCTACAGAGTTGGCCACTAACAGAGCAATACATTAGCCTGCTAAAATTGGTATTTTTTAGGTAAAAATACTAGTACCTAACTCAACAAAATCCTGAGCTAACTCTAAAGTCTAACAAAACACATTTTTATATTTTTATATTTTCACATTCACATTGTATATCAGCTGAAATTATTTTCAGGCTATACATCTCTTACATAATGTGACATATTTGAGTACTGAAATCTTTTTAGACAAAAAAGTCTCTAGTTAAAGTGTTCACTAAGATCAAGAGTAGATAATAACACAAGAGTTACAATTTAACAAATTGCACAGAATTCGCACAATTTACCGCTATGTGTAGAGGTGTTAAGCCAAAATTTGAAGCTATAGTTGCACCAATATTTAGCAACGGACTGTTTCCAAATCATTCGTGCCCCGATAGGGTTGAGAGACAATCTAAATTTCAAATTTTGATCTTGTGAGGAACCGCGAGACGCGCTCAGTTATTGTGATCGCAACACAAGAAATTGACATACTATCTTACATAAGTAATGATACAATAATAACAATATTCTCTGTAGTAGTTTGCAGTAAGTATCACATTACGCACGCGCAGGTAATCAAGTACATTAAACCCCTATCGGGGCACAAATGATTTGGAAACAGTCCGTTGCTAAATATTGGCGCCACTATAGGTTCAAATTTTAGCTTAATACCTCTACACAATAGCGGTAAATTGTACAAATTCAGCTCGTGCAAGATTACGATTTACAGCAATACGCTAGCAAATATATGTAAACGAATATCAGTACCACGAAGGTGAGTGATTAGTGGTCATAATAAGCTGAGGAACGTATACACTTGCTTCTTTATTGGCAAATTTTGATGAGAAACATCGGTTAAAAATCCGGGAATCGGGTGTGTAACTCTTGTGTTATTATCTACTCTTGCTAAGATGTATTTACTTACTGATGGATCCTGTTGTTAGATTACTACAATCACTTTTGCTCATTGTCTCACTGCACAAATCTTCTACACTGTCTCCTGTAAATCCATACAACAGGTAAATGAAACACACACTATTATGGCTTGAATTTACAACATGTTAACTGACAAGTATTATCCACAAGAGACAAAAGAAAAGATTATCACGATTAAATATTAATATGCATGCACACATTTACAAAAATGCTCAACTAGTATTCACAGCAAAATAATAGAAAGGGACAAAAATATAGTATTTACATGTGACAAACTATGCCAACATAGTAACAATTTAGCCATCGTGTCAACGTTCGGCTAAAAGGCTAACTACCTGGCTTTACCCAAGCTAGGTGACACCTAGATACAATAATGTAACCCAAACCCAGGATAGGGTTACGACGCGAGCGTATGGTTTTCTGTGGAGGAAGTTCAGGGAACCCCTGAGTGAATCACTCAGGGCGGTTTGCTGGTGCGTTTTCAGAGACTAGAACTTCCAAACTGGGTTTATTCTCAACACGAACCTTTCTCCAGTTCTCTGCTATATCCTGGAACTTACTATGTATCACAATACTCTGTATTAAACTAATATAACCTGTTACAAAAATTCGAAGTGACGAGCGGCGGATATTTCGAGCGCCATTTCTGTTGCCCTGTGACGTACGCATTCCCAATGCGCATAGCGTTCGGCTAACTTCGTCATGACGTCACGACTGACAGCAGGCATCCCATGATACATTCAATCTTGGAGTCGAAGTTAGCCGAACGCTATGCGCATCGGGAATGCGTACGTCACAGGTCAACAGAAATGGCGCTCGAAATATCCGCGATCACTTCAAATTTTTGTAACAGGTTATATTAGTTTAATACAGAGTATTGTGATACATAGTAAGTTCCAGGATAGCGGAGAAAGGTTCGTGTTTAGAATAAACCCAGTTTGGAAGTTCTAGTCTCTGAAAACGCACCAGCAAACCGCCCTGAGTGATTCACTCAGGGGTTCCCTGAACTTCCTCCACAGAAAACCATACGCTCGCGTTGTAACCCTATCCTGGGTTTGGGTTACATTATTGTATCTAGGTGACACCCTATGGCTAGCTACTGGCTCCCTGCGTTATTATCCACGTAACCGTGGGCTACGCAGTAAACTATCCAGATCCAGATCCAAAACATAGGCAGCATAATCATGAACGATAGCAAATCAAATGTCAGTATACAATGTCAATGATCATACAGATACACAACAACATGACAGCAACAATGATAAAGATGATGATGGCTATGAATATGATGATGAGAACGATGATAGATAAATTATATAAATTAAAACGTCAAATTATTATATTAGCACCTTTACCATCTTCATCAGCTAGAGGTACACGGTCGCTGCTGTACTGTGATGACTCGGACTCTGAAGGAGACAACATTGACGCCATCTCTGAACGGTAAATGCAGTGTTTCTATAACTTGTGCTGTAAACAGAAATATAAAACATCAGGCCTTCAACTTCGACGTAAATAGTCAAATATAGCAGCGAAAAAAGCAAAATTCGCCCAACTGACTGAACTAAACATTGGCTGAGGTTGCGCAGTCGAAGGAACAAGTTGCTAGAAAACGCCCAAAAACAGTATTCTTTCGATCTATATCTATTCCATACAGGATGTATTCGTAACACACCATACAGATAGATGGGTACTTATCATACGATGACACTAACCAAATTACAAAACACGCGGTAAGAGCTTCCATGCAATCTCATTCTATTATAAACACCGTTCTTACTCAAATTCGGTTTCTCTGAAAATTTTCACTGCAATACGTCCATGTTATGACGTCACCGTGCCGTCGCCACTCTCGAGTCCAGACACAGTTACTCGTAAAACGATGATAATCCGTGATATTTCTTGGGTTGCTCCAAACTCCACGACAGATGGCGCTCTCGCTCATGGGTTCAATCCACTGATCTCTATAATATAATCTATAATCTACTCTATAATCTATATCTAGTCTACTAATCTATATCTATAATCTATATCTAATCTACTCTATAATCTATAATCTATCTCTATAATATATAATATATAATATAATCTATAATCCACTCTATAATCTCTCTATAATCTACTCTATAATATTATATGATCAGTGGTTCAATCACTGATCTCTATTATACCACAGGCACTTGAAGCGTTTCAACTGTAAACACACGCCGCCGCCATTGCGCGCACACTGACACATAAATATATAAATATATAATAAATAAATAAATATATATTTAGTGTCAGTGTGCGCGCAATGGCGGCGGCGTGTGTTTACAGATGAAACGCTTCAAGTGCCTGTGTATTATACCATAACCTGTATGATACAGGCGGCATGTTCCGCTTCACTACACTAACCCTACTAACTAACTACCAACTACTAACTACTAACTACTGTTAGTGTAGTGAAGCGTAACCGGAACATACCGCCTGTAGCACACAGGCTAATTATACCAAAGCATATAAATCACCATAGATCATATAATCATATAAAAATATATAGATTTACCAGGTATATGCTCTGATTCGTTAGTATAATAGAGATCAGTGGGCTCAATCTACTGTGTATCATGTATCCTGAGTGTACGAAGGTGCACTGCATGCAGTTTGGGCAGAGCATATAAATCAACGTTGATTTATATGCTCTGGTTTGGGGTTGCCCGTCAAAATCCATAGTTACTACTTCTATAGGTTATCTATACTATTTCTATGTCAAAATCTGACGTTTTTCGTATAAGTTCAGACGCAAACTTGAAAATCAAACGGATATAAAAAGAACGGCAGTATACAATATAGGTGCGGTGTCATAACATTTTCATTAATATTGCTCTGCTGGAAGCACCCATAGAAATAATATAAATAACCATATTATATATTATTTATATTATATTTATTTTATTATTATTATATTTTATTGTTCTTTATATTATGTCTATGGAAGCAGCAAATGTGTGTTTGGTTACTGTCGCGTTCAGGATACCACAAACTATACTTTTACTGAACAGCACACATTTATTTAACAGCGCACAATACACAACCAGCTCACACACACACACACACACACACACACACACACACACACACACACACACACACACACACACACACACACACACACACACACACACACACGCACACAGATCCAAACTGCATGCAGCGCCCCCTTCCCACACTCAGGATGAGCGAGAGCGCCATCTGTCGTGGAGTTTGACACAGATCATGAATAACAAGTCGGTTTCAGTTTTGATTCTAAGAACCTTCCCGGTTGGCTCTAACACTATATTACTCATATAGTACCGAAAAGATCGTGACATCTCTCCCTTTTGAGATTGTCTGTTACCAACTAAATGATAGAAATTTTTTTTAAACATATCTGATAATCGAATAATGTATAATCTTACAACCGTTCTTTCTCCCTGGTCACGCAATACTTCACTATGCATTAACACATTAAAATTTCCACAAAGCACTGGTTACTTTAACCACACTCTCGCTACCATAATCATTTACTCAATGTCATCCCGAAAACGAGGCAATCCGGCTTGCGTAACTACC